ATCATTTCAACCAGCCTATATGCTTATCACTGAAACATATCTTTCTAGTAAGATTCCTGATTCTCTCATTTCTATTCGTAACTATTCAATCTATCGATGCGACCGTTTAAACCAAACTGGAGGAGGATGCTGCATTTATATTAATAACACTGCCTTTAAAGAATTCAAAATTACCAACATCTCGTTTGACTGTCCAGGTTGTGAATCCTTAGCACTGTACTTTCGTTCTCCCACATTCGACTTTTGTTTAGTTTGTGTATATCGTCCCCCCAGTACAAATTCCGAATCAGATACAATTCTCTACAACTCTCTTAACGCTTTATTACAACAGTACAATAACCTAATTACATTTGGAGACTTTAACTATCCTAACTTACATTGGCCTTTCCCTGATAGGAACACTTCGTCTGAGGATTTTCTCAACATGCTAGAAAATGCAAACTTACATCAGTTAGTCAGTCAATTTACACGGTTCAGACTGGGTCAAACTCCGTCGCTTCTAGATCTAATTTTGACAACCGATCCCCAACTATTCAGCGAAATAAACTATCTACTCAATATTGGAAAATCCGATCATGTGGTATTACTAACAAACATTCAAGTCGTCATTAGAAACACATCTAAAAACCAAGCCAAAAGTGTCACAGTAACGGATTGGGAAAACGTGTTGGATGAACTCACTCAAGTTAACTGGGATATGCTTCTTGAATTAGACAACGTAAACGAACAATGGTCTCGGTTCAAAACAACAGTTCGTGAATCTCTTGAGAGAAACAGTCGCACAAAAACAACATTATTCAATCCTCTAAAACCATGGATCACCTCCGACCTCCTGAAGAGCATCAAACTGAAAAAATACCTGTGGAGAGCATATTTGAGAAATCCAACACCAGACAGTCTTCTTCGCCATAGACAACACTCGAATACAGTCAGCAAAAAAATCAGACAATCTAGGCAAAACTACGAAAAGAATATAATAAACAGCAACGACCCTAAAAAATTTTATAAGTATCTTAGAACAACTATGTCATCAAAAGTTAGCATTCCTTTACTCAAAAAACCAAATGGCAACTTATGTAACTGCGATTTCGAAGTAGCTGAACTTTTGGCAGATACCAACGCATTATCATTTACCGACGAACCAATCGATGAATTACCCGTATTCAGAACAAGCATTGTAAACCAACTTAGTAATGTCGAATTTACTGATGACATTGTTTCAGCATATATTACCAAATCAAAGAGCAACACTGCCCCAGGTGTAGATGGCATACCACTTAATATTTTGAAACAAGGCAATCTTGTACTATCCAAACCATTAGCCACATTAATGACTTCATCTTTCAAATCTAGTAATCTACCTGACGACTGGAGATGTGCTATTACTACACCAATATACAAAAAACACGACAAGCTACACCCAGACAATTACAGACACATTAGTCTATTACCTAGTTGTTCTAAGTTGATGGAAAAAATCATATTTGACAAGTTGTTCGCATTCGCCATCGACAACAACATAATACCCGATGATCAACACGGTTTCTTTACCGGAAGATCGGCAACAACCAATCTATTGCAGTGTATCGATGACTGGACTAAAGCCTTCGAAAGTCGTATCCCTGTCGACGTCATCTACTTAGACTTTTCGAAGGCATTCGACAGAATTCCCAAAAGAAGGCTGCTTCTCAAACTCAGATCATACGGAGTAACCGGAACACTTTTAAGCTGGATCGAGGCTTATCTGTCAACAAGATCATTTAAAGTACGTGTGGGACAGACTTTTTCTATTTTAAGACCTGTCACAAGTGGGGTTCCCCAGGGTAGTGTCCTAGGACCGCTTCTTTTTATCATATACATTGCCGACCTTCCCAAACTCATCTCCTCCAAATCTCCCTTTTTCGCTGACGATTCAAAAATCTACGATCATTCGTAATCATGACAACATACAGGAAGATCTAAATATAATCTATCAATGGTGCGAAACCTGGCTACTACCTCTCAATACCGACAAATGTACAGTGTTGTATTTCGGTCCCGATAATCCCAAGAACAGCTACTGGTTAGGTAATCATCGCCTAAAAGAAGAAACGTCACACTGTGACCTAGGTGTAACTGTTACAAACAAGTTAGAATGGTCTACTCATATTGCAAACATTTGTAACAAAGCCAACCGTCAACTGTATTTGATAAGCCGAGTACTGCGGTTCAGTATGGAGCTGCGACTTAATTAGGGACACCAACCAATTGGAAGCTGTCCAGCGGCGCGCAACCCGCTTACCATTTGGTAGGATAAGACCATCCTATGAAGAACGGCTTGAAATGTATGGATTGGATACAATAGCCAACAGAAGATCCCGTGGCGACCAAATTTTCACTTTCAAAGTACTGCATAATATCATAGGATCGAACTTAGCGTACATGTATCGTTTGAATATCAATGATAGACTCAGAAGACATCAGTACAATTTGATCAAAGAAAGAACTTCTTCCAGGTCTCGCTCAAATTTTCTTGTAAACCGTGTGGTGAACCAATGGAACAGCCTTCCTGATACAATTGTTAATTCTCCCAGTGTTAACTGCTTCAAGAACAGATTCGACGCATTCAATTTATAAGTTTTAGTAAATATATCCAATTATTTGTATTATTTAGGAGTGCAGCTATTTTTTTTTTCTTTTGTTATTGAAATTGTCTCTTATTTCTATTTGGATCCATAGGTTTTACCTCCATCCTTATTTTTGTATTAATAATAATAATAATAATAATAATAATTGATTTTTAGATATTTTTCGAAATATTCTAACAAAAAGTTTTTCCGGTGATTCTAAACTAAATGTATTTGTAAATAGAAAAACTGCGTACTACGTCCACAGATGTAAAAATACTTACCGGTTTAGGGCAGGCGCGACAAAGTACAGTTCGTTCTTGAAGAATAACTTCAGGAAAAGGTTTAATCCATAAATTAATTTGAGTTATTTTCGACATATTGATACACTTGTATCCCTTTAAATACTTTCAATATAAACTCACGATGAAAAATAATAACAGTATAACGTCCCTTCGATCACCACTAATAAACGTACACTTATTAACTAACGAACAAAAATATTGGGAATGAAGGGTATTTCCAAAAGTAATTAGGCCGCGAATTTACCTGGAAGGATGGCTTAACACCTAGTGGTGTCTCCAAACTACCATAAAACCCAAACCTTTTCTAGTTATTTGAAGCTCAGGATAATATTTGCAATATGATTCATAAAATTTCGTCTTTCTAGATAAATGCCGATAGAATGACAATAATCTTTTTTTTCAAAATAGTACAAAAATTGATAAAAATGCAAAATATGCACCCATTCCGTGAAATATGCAGCAGAAGGCAAATATATGCAAATATGCAATTTTTTTATAGCTGTATTCATTTTTAATTAGCATGATTCGTTTACATATTAAATATCAAGACTTATATGCAAAAAATAACGGATATGCAAATTTCCTAAAATCCGTTCTCTAGTTGAGGCGATGGCAGGTGTCATTAATGTTACTTTGACAATCAGGTATTCCATTATAAAATTTTAAATATGTTACCAACCGCACAAAAAAAAATCATGAACATTAAAAGTCGCTTGGTAACTGCTACTTTATTTTAGATTATTAATCAAATTAATGTGTCTAATATTATTTTTGCAGCAACAGCAGTATAATAAACTGGTCAAATTATTGCTCTAAAAATATTACAAAACTGTTGTAATCATGAATAACGTTTTTATGTACCATTATTTTATTTGGTTCTTTTATTTTCAAGACTATGAACTACATATCATATATGTAATAGGAGTAATATTTAACAAAGAACCAATCTTTTTTTCTGCAGCAACTAAAAAATATCACTTTATTATACATTCTTATCTAGGTTAGGAGGGCGCCACTACCCATATCTCTATCTCTTTCAGTGTATTAACAACCACAAAGGCCTACTCGAACCCTGTCTAAATACTCATATGTTCATTTTCTATTAGAATAATGTATTTTTAAAATAATCTAGTAAAAGCAATAAAATATATCGGGTGTTTGGAAAATGGCGGATTAACTCTCCGCTACCCTCTTAACAATCAACTGGTGAGTTTGGGAAAAATAGTAAAAAAAATCCTTCGCACATTTTGGTGAAGTTATAATGATTTTAAAATTGGTTCTTTTGCTACGTTTAACAACTAAACAACTCATTCATTATCAGAATAACTAGTATTAATACTTTTTGTTAATATTTTTCTCGCCCATGACCATGTTTAATTACCATTTCAGTTAGAATGCACAAAGATATGGCTGTGTTATTTTTGTAATAATTTGATAAAATTCCATTTGACAACAATGTTTGCCTGATATAAAGCGAAGGTGGATTTCAATTACATACCATCGTTACTAACAAACCAGAAAATAAGCTGGAGGTATTCACGCATTGGGTGTGTACAGTGTTGCCAATTTTACTTTTATAAAATTACGTTTTTTTCGTAATCTATATTATAAAGAATTTTTTTATTATTTTTTTGGGACTTCCGAAACCCCCGTGTATAAGGTACTGAAGAGTTAATCCACCATTTTCCAGACAGCCGGTATATTTGGAATTAATAATAATTTGTCTTGTCATTATTTAACAAGTTACAGAAGTCTTAAATTGCCAGAATAAACCGTATTATTATGTAACAACTTTGTTATGTAGATATCGTAGTCGGTTTAAGTATAACTCATTATATTATTTCAAAGAACTTGTTAAAGGTTACAGAAATGGGATAAATAACTTTTTTCTATGTCAAGCGAGCGTTCAATAACAGCTTCCCACACAATGGATTAAAAACAAAGGATGCTTTGATAAACATACAAAATTTTACAATTTTAAATTTCAATTGAATTAATTATTTACGGCAATGTCACCTCTTGTTATTTTGTTCACACAATAATTAACAAACCGATTTAAATTTGCAATCAGATTCATCTCCATGTTGCATGCAAAATTAAGGTGATGAAGTGGGGGCAGTACATAAAAGTCAAGCAGGTTCAACTAGTGCATAATTTTATCGAAGTCGCCATGAAGTTTGCAGTTGTATGTTTTGTTGTAATTGGTAAGTAGATATGTATTTTTTTTGTTGAAATTAAGTGATGTTATTAAATAGGTACTGATTCGTCTTTTGGAATCAGTTTTATTTTTAATGCAATGGAAATTTCTTAATGGAGAAAATGATAATCTATAAAAACAATTCATTTGTTTTGATCAAAGTTTATCAATAAACGAATTACAAAATCTTCAAATCGAGTATTCCGATACTTTTATAATTCTGATTATACGCAATTTGATTTGTTAATATTAATATCAAGCAATTATTGATAACTTAAGAAATCATTCAATTCAAAACGATAAAGACAGATAATGTGAAGGTTCATTGAAGGAAGTTCCAGTCTGTTGACTTCTACTTATCTTGTTCTAAATCTTGACCCTGATTTTAGCTGTCGTGGTAACCAGCAGTTACGGTTTACCAGCGAAAGGATCAACAAAGGCCGCTCTGAAAAAGAAACCATGTCTTAAAGAATGTCCTGATGACTATAAACCCGTATGTGCAGGAGATGGTAGCGGGAAAAACAATAAATCTTTTGGAAGCGAATGTGTCCTGTCTAACTACAACTGCGAATCAGGAAATAGTAATTATTCTTCCTTATCTTATTTTAAAGCTGAGCCGGATTAAATTTATTTATTGTGTGCTTAAAGTTACTGGTGTCTTTAACCGAGCAGAAGTAAGCAATTTAAATTTGAATGAGCACTCATACATTAAACAATCAAGCTTATTCTGCGTTTAGTTCCATAGAAAATTATGACTAACCATAATAAAGCCGAGTGTTAACTCTTTCCTGCAATTATCGTAATTTACGTTGTCTGTCTAAATGGACATAACAATTGAGGCTATCAAGGTTTCAGATCGGATTTGTTTTACAATTGATTCAAACGTAGCAAAGGAATGAAATAATAGCAGCAACAAAAGTTAGATTGTTGAAACTTTATTTAAAAAATATAATTACCACAGCAGGTATAAATTATAGTATTCATGTCATACATATTGTTGGCAAACAATGAATATTGTACGATAATATCTAGGAATTTTGATTTTCTTGCGTTATTTACATTTTTAGCCTAATAATAATAATAATAATAATGGATATTTGCTGGCAGTTCCATCAGATATTTATAGGAATTTATACATCATTTTAAACTAGCATTATTTAACAAAATGTTTTTTTTTTATATAAATTTAAAAAACGAATTTCTTTTTCAAAATATTGTCACTTATTAAGATAAAATGCAGAGCTCTTTCAGATATGCGCCTGCAGATAACACATTTAAATGTTTCTTAAACACTATCAATTTGTGTATATTTAAATAAATTTAAACTACATAATATAATGCGTACTGGTCTTATAAAATAAATCAGTGCCCTCGTACTTACCACTAAGATTTATCTAAATTTCAAAGTCACATTTTTGTCACTTAAATTCTTGACTGTATAAAGCGGACAAACTGCATCAACTGATAAAAAATGATAAAATATTTCCACTAAAATATATAACTATTTATACTAATGATACTACATTTTAACATGTTTATTTTTATGCATTAATAATATTGTATCAACTCATTCCAAGTACCGATGCTTACTTAGCTTACAAATATTTGCATTAAAAAAGACATTTGTGTTTAATTAATGTCGTAAATGATTTACCTATAATTTTAAATTTCAGATCTGAAGATACAAAGTCAGGGAGAATGTCCAGGTGGTGGAGGAGTTCGTTTGTCGTAACCGATTTTGGCAAAATAATCGCAACTCTCATTCTTACCTAATATATATGTTAAATATCAATATTAATGTAAACGTATCATTCAGTTCAATAATAATAATTAATGATAATTCAGTAATCATTTACGTGGATTAAATACTTGTAAAACTAATAATTGTGCTTGAACATTTTTAAAAAATACACTTTAATTTTTGCCTAACTTGTTTTCATTAACGTCGAACACAACTCTTAGATTTAAATGTATGTTTGAGTACATACATATGTCATTTATCATTAAAAATTCTGGGACATTTCTACTGTTAATATATGTTGAAATTTCTTTTAAATTCAAAACAAAATTTATACTTTTATGATTAACTAATTAAATATGTAAGTAAAAAAAGAACTTAAGAGAAATTGTTAAATATTAATTATACATGTGCATTGAAACTAGTAGTGAAATGTTACAATAGTAATATTTCTTATTTTATTAATAAAATGTTCTAACTTAAAGATGTCTTACTCGAGACGTTATTATGTTTTTAATTAACTTTTACAATATTTATTAGTGTAATCTCCTACAGATAATAAGGCCTTGATACCAGACAGTGTCCTTATAAACTCTTCGAAGTTATTTAATTTTTGAGATGTCAAAAATACAAGAACTTTTTTGTAGATAAATGCAACCAGTAATGTGTTTCAGCTAAATTTATTGCTTTTTGGTTTAAAATAAAAAAATAAATGTCGTTATTAATATTCTTTTACAAACTGAAAAATTATTGAGATGTACTGATCGTAGATTAAGCTAACTGTTATCTAGACGACAATTTATCAACAATAAGATGTGAGTTTGCAAGTATCTACCATTTTAACAAGTGATAACGACAATGAATTTAAAACGGTCTTTAAATGTTGAGATAATAAAGAGAAATTTTGTATTATTTATGCTATAGAAGAGACATTGCGGTTTTGTTACAAAGTAATCTGTAATAAAAAGGTCAAAACAAAAATAATTTAACTAAAGATTTTAAATGGTAAATGGAACTTGTTAACGATTTGCCTCCTATATAAATTATTTCGACACGTCAAAAAAGACGCTACTGCATGAGTTTACTTTTTTTACGGAAATTAAATGAAATATGACCTGCCAAAAACTAACCTCCTCTGCTAAATTTCAGTACTGTATATTATATCTTATACTACTTGCCGAGCAAAATGTAGCAATATGATTAATATATGTAAATAGGTACATATGTGTAATCTATATACATATATATATATATATATATACTCGTATTATGAGTTTTCGGTCCCTATTTCTCCAAAAATATTTTGGTAAACACATTCTTCTTATGATAGCGCAAAATATGTGACTTTCTAGTATGTTGTTATTAACAACAATAATTAGTTCCATTGAAATTTTTTTCATCTACGCAAAAAAATGTTCCTTATCGTTTGTAACTGATGGATCTATTAAAAGAAAGGGATTATCTTATCATCGTACCCGTTATATCGAATATTAATTCACATGTTTGTGAAATGTTTGAATTGAAAACGTCATTTTGGCATATACGTATAATGAATATTTCTAATCGCATCACACTTACCTCAAGAAGCCGTCATCCGGGCTGTAGCTTTAGTTGAAGATGGTCGGACCCAACTTTATGTGGCCACTCTTCTGGGCGTTGATCGTTCGTCCATTTCTAGACTAATGCAGAAGTACCATCTACTGGACCAGGACCTCATGTCATGCCCTATGGAGCCTACATAGGGCTGAATTTTACATATATGCACGATAATGCGCCGCCTCAAATAGCCCACATTGTACAACAATACTTGGAAGAGGTTGAAATTCCACTTCTACCTCGCCAGCCAGGAGGCCCTACATGATCTTCATTAAACATGTGTGGGATCATGTAAAATGGAGTTTAAAGGAGCGTAGATTGGTTATTGGAGATATTAATGCCATGTATGTAGAATGCCATCGTGTAAGAATGGGAAAATCTTCCGCAAGAGTACATTAGGAGTTTAATCGACGAATGCAGGCTGTTATTAGAGGTAGGGATGGAAATATTTCGTACTAGTTTGTGTTGAATTGTTATTAACGTTTAATGGCTAAGATAAAAGACCAACTTCTGATAGTAAATTTTGTTTTTGATCGTTTTGTCTTTAGTTGCAGTCGCTTACAGAAATATTCTTATAGTTAATTGCTTTAATTTTTTTCTGGGGTGTGTATTTTATTAACGGCCATAAAGTCAATACATTTTTTAATTTCCAAAATAAACGAAATTATGCAAATTCGTTATTACCTCTTGAGCATATTGATGGTTACAATATCCGTTATGCATAGTTAATACGGTACAGTTATACAGATAGGATTAGGAGTACACAACATGTTTAATAATCATGCTTATGTTTAAGATGTGCTAACATATGTTTTTCTAAAACTTTGTGCTAAATTAACTAAATTTACTATTTACATATTTTTAATATTAACTTGAGGTAAGTAACTTTTCTTGCACTGTAAACTTATTTATTGCAACTCAAGAATCTGCCAGCACTGGTCCCACTCTATTTTTAGTTTCTATCAACGACACATGTACTGCTTTTCAGTCTCTTAACAAATCTAAAACTATTGCCACACTTTTTACTTTAAGAAATTTATTTAATTAAAGCTTTGAAAAGACTTCTTTCTTTCATGTTTATCTCTTATGGTTTGGAATTAAGGGATATGCTGCTTGTGCTGGTCTCCTCTTCAAGTTACAAAAATGTGTGATCATTGATCAGAGTAGGGGCTGGTTTGAATTACAGATTTTAGACATTGCTTTACTTCACTGAATATTTTTACTATCCTTAGTGCATATATTTATTTTTGTTTAATGTATCTATATATGTTGATAGTACATGGTAAAATGGTTTTACTGGCGGACAGACGGATACGACTGGTGAGCCTCAGACTGTCTTCTGGAGCCAGTAAAACCGTTATCATGCATGTATTGTTGAATATTTTATTTGTTCCTCATAAATAACTATTATAAAATATTAAAAATTCTTGAAATTCCGATATTTGAAAAAAATCGTATGAGCTTTAGAGATATAGCCTTGGAAAACCACATCAGCATGGCACTTATGTTGTTGAGTTTTGTCTTTTAGATTTTTCGATTTATCGTTTTTGATTTATTTAAATGAGCGTGCCACTGGCTATAATACTGACGAAGCAGCGAGTTTGCCTGAATTAACTTTGTAATCGAGTCCGTCGACCGATTCTCTTGTTTTACGTTTTCTCTGCCTTTCATGACCTCTAGAGTACGAAGAAATAGATCTCCCGTTTCCGTCTGCCTAGCTGTCTGTCTGTCTGTCTGCTGTCTGTTAGGATTTTTATTAGACAAATAATCTCCGAAACTACTGGACCGATTGTTGTCAAATTTTATATGTGTATTATGAATATTCTGTAGATGGTAAAACTCTAACCCAACTTTGTCTAATCATTCCCACCAATAATGTGATGACGTCGCTTCAAAATTATACGTAGTAAATGGGTTTTAAATTTTAGAAAATAACATACTACTGCACATGTAGTTTATGACTCCGTGACATTTTGCAATTTAATTTTGAATCCACAAAAGCGAATGCTTTGAAATCTTGCAAATGTTTTAAAGTTATAACAAGCATGATAAATTTTTAATCAAAATATATTTGCTTCTCCCCTCGAAAAAATGGATGAACTCAGCTCAAAACTTTGCCGAATAAATCCTGTCTAAAGTAAAAAATATGATGAATCTATACTTGTGATCCATCCCATTCATATTATTTGGATTTGCTTATACAGGGTGACTCAAAAAAATTAATAAATGCGTGGATTTATTTTATTGATTTAATCAGGAATTGCAAAATCGAATGCTTTGAAATCTGGAGATGTTTTATAAGCATGGTAATTTTTTGATGAAAATGTATTTCCCAAAAAATTGATGACGTCACCTTAAAATTTTACTAAATAAATCCTATTTAAATGTGCAAAATATGATGAGTCAATACTTGTGATTTATATTTGCAGTAATATCTTTTAAATTTGTTAATTCAGGGTGTCCCAAAAAATTAATGGCTGAGTCAATTTACTTAATTGATTAAATCAGGAACTGCAAAACCAAATGTTTTGAAATTTTGCACACATTTTGAAGTTATTGTAAGCATGGTTAACCTTTTAATCAAAATGTATCTATTTATCAACCCCAAAAACTTGAAGACGTCATCTCAAAATTTTGACAAATAAATCCTATCTAAAATGTGCAAAATATGAACAGTCTATACTTGTGATTTATCATTGCATTAATATTTTTTAGATTTGCTTAAACAGGGTGACAAAAAAATTAATGAATGAGTCAATTTATTTTATTGATTAAATTAGGAACGGCCCACTCCATTTTTCCAGAAAATTTTGGGAATACAATACTGTTATTTTTAGTATTACACTGCACCAATCCAAGTTGGTGTACGTGTCATTGCTGTTGTTGATGACGTCATTACAAAATTGTGTAAAGTAGAAACTCAACTCGAAAATTATGGATATATTTCATTCTACTTTAGGTGCGAAGGAAGTTCTGTCGAAACAACTTTCGACCAATTTTTTTTCGTTAAAATTTTGAGATGTCATCAATTTTAAAACTGTTATAAGATTTCAAGCCATTCGGTTTTGCAGATTCAAAATTGAATTACAATATGTTGTTATGAAATTTTGATTTTTTTACAAAAAGCTGAATGTCTCGGGTAAAAAGTCAACACGGTTTAATAACTCAAGTGTAGGACTATGTTATTTTATGCAATGTAAAACTCATTTACTATGTACAATTTTGAGGTGACGTCATCAATTTGTTGGTGAGGACGATTAGATATAGTTTGGTTAGCGTTTTACCAACTAAATGGTATTCCTAATATACATACAAAATTTGATGATAATCGGTACACTAAATAGTTCCGGAAATTATCTGTCTAATAAAATTCCGGACAGACGACAGACAGACAGACGGAAATGGGAGACCTAATTTTGCGTACTCTAGAGTTTATGACTGCTGACCAGGGAACTAAAGTAACCTCATTTGACATACACCTGTTAAAACTTTTATGACTTAAGCGGCTTAAGCCAAACCACCATTATAAGTCAAACTGGCTATTGTATTACTTCACTCAGTTCATAGCTACATTATGCCAACAATGGACA